GTATCCAGCTCTTGAGCCACTGCTCCCACACTATGGCACACTGTGGAGTGTACTTTCATTTTCAATCAGTCCCTGCTTGCGTTCTTTTGTTGCTTCATTCTTTCTTTGCTTTGCTGGGTGTTCTGTCCAATTCTTTGTTCAAAGTGCCAAGAACCTAGACAACTTACAGTCATGACCCTCTACCAGTGACAATGACATCTGTCTTTCCCAAGATCCTAAGAGTCCATTATTTGCGGATTCTATCCATCTAAGAGCATTGGGTTCCTCATTTGATGTTTACAGGGATCAAGAACGACTGCCCAGGCCAGGCGCAGTGGCTCACGCCTATAATCCCAACACTTTGGGAGGCTGAGGCAAGAGAATCACTCGAGGTCAGGAGTTTGAGACCAGCCTGACCAATAGGGTGAAACCCCATCTCTACTAAAAATACAAAAACTTAGCCAGGCATGGTAACAGGTGCCTGTAATCCCAGCTACTTGCTTGGAGAGGCTGAGGCAGGAGAATCACTTGAACCCGGGAGGTGGAGGTTGTAATGGGCACTGCAGTCTGGGCGACAGAGTGAGACTCCATCTAAAAAAAGAAAAAAAAGAATAACTGCCCTATCTCCCAACGACCTCCAGCAAAAACAGATTCTTCACCAATGCCCAGAATGTCACTATTCATATAAATTCCTTGGGCAAGAATCACTTTTCACCAATTCAAGTGTCCTGCAAGGAACCTCAGTTACTCTGGGAATGGGGGCAGAAGCACTAGCCATAAGAAGGAGACTTTTTACCTTAGACCCTTTTCGTATCTTTTAAATTCTGACCTATGTAAATGTATTGCTACCCAAAACATTAGTAAGCATGTAACACATGTTTAAGGCTGCTAATAGATGGGTGGGCACATATGCAGACTGAAGTGAGGGTGTCCCTGGAGAGGCCCAGGCCCCCAGGGCCAAGGAGAGGATGGACTGAGGGGTGGGTGTGACTTGTCCAAGTTTCACTTCCCTCCAAGTGTTTCACAAGAACAGGGTCCCAGGAGGCCAGGCTGAGATTCGGGTGGCTCCCAGCAAGATCTGATCCTGTGACCCAAGCACTGTGGACCCGCCCTCTGCAGTGGCAGCCTTGGCACAGCACAGCGGCCAGCAGGTGCCCACCGACCAGCTGTCCACACGGAAGGGCGGGGACAGGCAATGCTGTGGGGCAGCCCAGTCCTGGCCCCCCCAGGCCTCATGATGGACTGTGAGCTGTGTGAGCTGACAGCGGCCCTGGGGCTTCTTTGTGACAGCAAAGGAAGGAAGTGAGATTGGGGATGGTGGTAGCCTTGGGTACTGCAGCCTCCTCTCCCAATGCACGCACTGGTGAGGGGTCCTGCAGTCGCCTTCCAGCTGCTGGGGGTGCTGACCCCATGTAGAGGGGCCCGCTGAGTACTGAACCCAGAAAGGAAGGGGCCAAGGTCACCAGGCAAGGAAGGAAGAGGGGACAGGCCTGTCTGTGCAGGCCTGGAGGGGACACATGAGCCGCTGCTCACGGCACAGCCGCTTGCCAGGACCACTGTGGACAGGCTCCCTACTGGACATTCCCTCCCACATTACGAACAAGAAGGGCCAGAGCTGAGACTGGAACGCAGGCCTGTGTGGCTCAGCCTTGTGTGTCTCCCACATGACACACTCAAGCAGGGGCCAGGCCCAGGCGCCAGGAGACCAGGAGGGAGAGATGCCATGGAAGGCTGCCGGCCCCAGCCTGAGCTTCGGGGGGCTCTCCAGTCTCCTCTCACCCCAAACACGCTGTCTGTGGGCCAGCAGGCATGCATGTGCACACACACACACGCAGATACACACACATGCAGATAACACACACGTACATGCATACACATACATATACACATGCACACGTGTGCACACGTGTGCACACACATGCATGCATATACACACGAACATACACATACACTATACATATATACACACACATGCACATGCATATACATACATACACACATACGCTTATGCATACACACATACCCATACATGCATACTTATGCACAAACACACATGCACATACACATATATACATGTGTACACATACAAACACACACACATGCACATATACACATATACATACATACATACGCTTACACATATGCACATACACATACATGTATGCATATGCACTGAACATACACATACATTATGCATATATACACACACATATGCACATACATATACACGCACACATACACACATATACATGCATACGCACATACACATGCATACATATGCACAAAGACACATGCACATACACATATATACATATACACATATACATACATACTTACACACACATATACATATGCACTTGCACACACATACACACACAGTGGATCATCTCCGCAGACCAGAGCATGCGGGCCTGGGGTATGTGGGCCCCCTTTGTCTTCTCACTGCCCTCCCAGTCGGGCCTGGGGTGGGGCCCCAGAAGATTCTCAGAGCAGACTCTGCCTCAATGACCCCAGGCTCAGGGACAGAGGCCAGAGGGACCCCCAGGACATGCAGGAGCCCCAGGCCACGGTGGCACTGGGGGAAGCCCAGCTGGTCCTGAAGAGGGAGGACACCTGAGCCACACAGCAGGGAACAGGTGGCAGGCAGAGGCTGGGGACCAGGGACCGGCAGGCAGGGCCTGGGGAGAGCTTGAGGGCAGGTAGGGTGGCTCCAGGCTGTCCAGCCAGATAACCCGCCAGGGACAGCCCAAGTAGCTCTCTGAGAGCACCTGCAGGCTTGGCCTGGACAACACATGCCCCAGGAAGCACTCCAGGCTCTTTGCCAGGTCTCCTGGGCTCAGGGTCCACCCCCTAGGGCAGAAAGGCCAGTGGCCAGACCCCGGGACTGAGGCACCCAGGGACTGAGACCAGGGGTCTCGGCCCACCTCTGTCCCCAGCCTCCCTGACTGCACCTTCTAGGAGCTGCCACTCCAGCTCAGCCTGGCTTGGCCTGGGAAGTCCCAGCCTGCAGCCCCCAGCCCCAGCCACCGCTGGGCCCACGAGAACCCGCACACACGACACACACACAGCCTCCTGGCATGGAGATACGAGTGTACATGGGCACACACTTCCTGCTAGGAAAACCCAGACTTCCTGTCTCCAGGTGAGGAACTCTCAGGGTCTAAGCTGGGCCCCCTCCCTCAGCCACCAGCCGCTCAGCCTTCAGCACCTCTTCCCAGCCTCCCTTGGGGCCTCCACCCAACTCGGGTGTTGCTCCAGCCTCAGCACCCACCACCCCAACCTCAGGGCCTTCTCGGCTTTTCCTTGCAACCCACGGCCTGGGAGGACCTCTGGGAGCATGGGGTCAGAGGGAGGCCAGGGCTCTGGCTCTATGGCTGACTCTGACTTCACCCTCCCCAGCCTGGGAGGCACTGACAGCACCCCCATTTCACAGCTGGAAAAAAAAGAGGCACAGCGAGGTAAAGGAACGTGCCTGCGTTCTCACAGGAAGTGGCAGAGCCAGGACGGAACCCCCCACAACCCCACAGCCCAGCCCCAGGACCCTCCAGCGCCAGCCAGGCAGCTCAGTGAGGAGCCTGGGACAGAAGGGTGGGGAAGGGGGTGGCAGGGGTCCTAGGGGAGAACATGACCAGGACCAGACCACACCAACGCCTCCTCTCTCCCCTCCCATGCACCCTGCCTCGGACACTGATGGCCACCTGCTCAGGGGTGGGGTCAAGCAGGGGACAGACTGACCTGTCAATCCTCTTGGGCCCCTCCCCTAGGAAAATACCTGCCCCTCTGGCCCCTGGCTGGGAGGATTCCGGGCATGAAGCAGTGCCCACCTGTCCTCTGCCAGCCTCGGTCTTCCCATAAGGTATGGGGACCGCTTATCGGCACCAGCATCACACACCCGCCCCCACTACAGCCCTGGAGGTGGGGAACCCCAGCCCTCCCACTTCCTCATTCCTGCCCCACCCACCCCACCCTGCCAGGGAGTTCTGGATACTCCCTTGAGCCGGCCTGCCCTGCTCCTGGCCTCCAGCCCTGGTGCCCCCATGAAGGAGGGCACAGCCCGAGCACTTGCCCCCAAAAGAGGCAGACAAGCCCTGGGCACTTGACCCCCACGCACCAGGCCCCAGCAAGACTCAGACCCCAGCCCCCAGCCCTGACATGGGAACTGGGGCAGGGCTGCCTGGGGAACTGGCCCCTGGCTGTCCATAGTACCACGAGGGGACCTGGAGGGAGCGGGGAGAGACACAGCCCTGCCTGCCTGGCACCACAGCCCTTCAGGCCTTGCCTGCCCTCAGGTGACCCAACTTTGTTGAGCTCTTGGAACCCTAGCCCGCCTGCAGTCACCTGGCCCCCACTCTCGCCAGGGTCAGGGTCAGGTCTCAGGGTCAGGCCCAGAGACACTACGGGAGGCCACTGCAGAGGGCTGGGAGGGGCATCTGTCACCACCTGTCTCAGCTGCTCCCTGGAAATCTCCCCATCTCAACTTTCGGCCTCCCCAGCAAGCCTGGCTGCCAATGCAAATGGATTTCCCAGCAGCTCAGCCGCAGGCTGCCTCCGAGCTCCAGTGGCAGGTGGTGGGGGAGAGCGGAGGTGCAGGCGCACACTGGAGCAGTCTGCTTGTGCTCGCCCGCATACACACTCCACAGTGACACCCCCTGCAGTAACTTGACAACTTTCACTGCTGGGAAGTCCCTCCCACATCTAACCTGAATTCTTCAAGCTGCAGAAGCAGCCTTAGCCTCTTTTTGTCCCTAGGAAGCCCTGAGTCTGCCTTGGCTGGGACAGAGTAGTGCCCAGCCCTGCTGTGCAAGGCTGACCGGGAACAAGGCCAGCGGACCCAGGCAGTGGTGGAGGCAGCCCCTGGTATGCGCCTGCCCCGCTCTGGACCTGCCTCAGTCTCCCCATGGGTTCCACAGGCAGGAGAGGGCCACCCACCAAATGGTGTCACCAGAGAGCCTCCGGCCCAGCCCTTTGGCACACGGGGACCCAGGCCTCCCGTTCCCTGCCCACTCCTTAGGGAGGCACCATCTTAATTCACATTTATTTTTAAAATAAATTCTCTGCTCTTCACTTTCAGACCGGAGGGTGAAGCTGGGCATCACTGAAGGGAGCTCTGCAACACAAAACACTCCCTCTGATGCCTGAAATCCCTCTGGCAGGCTGCTCCTTCTGGCCTGGCAGCTGTGCTCAGCTGCTGACGACAAAAATTCCCTAACTGTGGTGTCAGAGTTGGGAGCAGGGCCGAGAGTGACTCCCTCGGCTTCTGGCTGACCCCCATGGACCACGGCTCCTCACCGACGGCCGCCCCCTCTCTGGCCGGAGAGCACTAGACGCAGGTGATCAGCACCGCCATGGCACTGGGCACCTTGATCTCCTCGAAGAGCACGCGGCCCCGGGGGGCCTCCGCACCCGCAGCCCCGGCCGCAGCTCTCAGCAGGTCTTGGGCGTGCTGCAAGAGATGCTGGTTCCGCCGGCGGCCCAGGCGGCGCAGCGCCAGAATGGCCAGTACGTGGTCCTGCCTGCAGAGACATGCGGGCGCTCACTGAGCACCCTGCAGCACCCGCAGTCCCAGGATGGGGGAACCCGTGGGCTTGGGAGTTAGTATGAGTCACCCTGCATTCCAGGAGTCCGTCAGGGTCAGACTGACTGAGGCCAGGAAAAGCTGTGCTAGGGGAGGGACGGAGCATGGGCCTGGGGGGCACGGCAGCTGGGCTTAAGGGGGCACAGGAGAGGGGTCTGCAGAGCGGGGAAGCAGCCCACACAGGCGCAGAGGGAGACAGGGGGATAGGTTCTGGAGAGGCAGGGAGGGGCTGATGCAGCTGTGGGTGACAGGGCCGGCAGCGGGGAGGGGGATTGGAGGGGAACGCCCAGGGTGCTGTCTCTGAGCCATAGCCCGAAAGGCAGCCTGGCTGGGAAGGAAGAATTCTCCCCCACCCCACGGCAGGGTGGCCCAGAGAAGGGGCTGACCAGGAACTTTCTGTGCACTCCACATCCTGGAATCTCCAAAAGAATGGAGAGATTCAAGCTGAGATTTCCAAGCACTTGGATGACTCACCGTCCCCCCAGCACACCCCGGGATCAAAGCCTCCTTCCTCCTGGCCCGGTCTCAGAATCCCCTTGCTTTCAGAGAGGGCTTTCTCCCCAAGGGTTCGGGGTCCGCCTCCCTCCTCAGATTCTAGGACTGGAGGCATGCCCTACCCCAGTGGGGCTGATGGAGGAAGGCTGAGAACAGATTAGGAGAAGGGGCTCTCTCTGTTCCCCTCCAGCCTCGAGGGTCTGAGGGTCCAAGGCCCACCACCAGCCTCTGGTCTTCAGGCCCCTGGGCAGTCAGGTCCAGGCCAGGGCCCCTCCAACCCCAGCCCCCTTGGCCCTGAAGCCAGCGGAGCAGGTGGGGCTCACACCTGATGTCAGGGTAGCTCCGGATGAGAGTCTCCAGGTGCCGCTGGATGTCATCTTTATAAGTCTCGCCCAGGATCTCGGCCACACACTGGATGGCTTGGTCCAGCCACGTGGCCTTGGAACCCTGTGAGACACAGACCACCTGCCCTAGGAGCCCTCTCCCCGCCCCTGCTCCAACTCCTGCAGGGGTGTGAGGTCAGCCCTCCTGCAGCCACTCCAACTGGGTGCTGGGGCTGCCTTCCCCAAACTGGACGGGAGGTGTGCCTAGAAACCGAGGGCTCCTGGGCCTCAGCATTCGTCTTCCCTCCGGTCCCATCCCCACAGGCATCTTCCTGCCTCTGCTCTGACAGGAAAACCAAGGCCAGCCTGGGAGTGTTCAGGCCAGACAAGGTGTGTGCAGGGGCTCTGTGTCTCTGCTCTAGGGCTCTGGCCTGAATGGGGAACACCTGCCACAGGCCCTGCCCGTGAGATGGAGCTGCGACCCTCGCCACTTCCCCCCCCCTACAAACTGTATGCAAATGTATGCAAAGTGACATCCTCCCACCTGGTCCCACCCCAACCCCACAGGCGCCCCAGTCCCTGCTCCACCTGATCCAGAGTGGGGAGAACAGCTCCCGCCAAAAGCCCTCCCGGTGCTAGGGCCCTAGTCACTGCCACCCCCTCCCCACACAAAGGCAAACGCCCAGGGGCAGCAGACACTGCCCCTACCAGGCCCTGGAAGGTGTCACCGATGGCCTGGGCATCCTGACTCATCTTCTGGGAGCCGCGCATGCGCTCCATGCCCCGGAACCGCTCCCGCGGCCTCAGCGCCTGCGCCAGGTACTCTCGGACCACGAACCGGTGCACCTCCTGCAGAGCCTCCTGGATGGACCAGAGTCAGAGTCAGGGTCAGGGTCAGGGTCAGGGTCAGCAGCCCCAACCCTGGGCACAGCCCTGCCGGGGCCCTCACCCTTGAGGTACCTGTGCCCGCGGCCGGGCCACATGCTGGAGATGACCAGCAAAGACTACCACCTTGTCCATGAGGGGTCGCAGCCAGTCCCCTGCCAGCCAGCCCCTGGTCCACACGGCCCTGAAGAGCGGCTGGGGACAGAGCGGAGGGAGTCTGCAAAGCACTCCCGCCACCCAAGCCCTCCCTTGAAGCCCAGTGTGCACTCCTGACACCTTCTCTCCTGGGCTGGGGTCATCCCCTCTCCTAGCCACAGGTGATGTCAGGAGCCCTTTTCTAGAATGCCTCTCCCAGGCCCCAAGCTCCAGGGGCAGGGTTTGACTTTGTCCAGTCAGATCTGCTCAGGGTGTCTCCCGGGGATGCCTTGAGGGTCTGGGTGAGGGGCCTAGGCCTGGATCTGGGGACCCACTATCCCAGGCTTTGGGGTGACCACCAACAGCTGGAGACTGAAGTGAGAAGGCAGGCTTCTCCTGGTCGTCGTGCTCAGCTGGGACCTCCCCTGGGTTCCCTGCCCACTACCCTTCACACGCACCCATGAGCTGGTCCCTGGAATAAATGAATGCTGTGACCTAGGCCCCCAGGCTCTAGGAATGGGGGGTACCTGCTGGGCATGCACAGTGTGGAGAGAGGGCCTGTCACAGTCACCTGCAAGTCACACTGCAGGCCCCAAAGCAGGTGCTTCTGGAAGCTGCAGGTGGCCGCCACCAGGGGCTTCTCCAGCTCCTCTTGGGTTCCTGGGAACCTGGAGAGAAGACTGGTCCTGGGGAGGGGCCAGGACCATCGATGAAGTGGGCAAGGGAGGGCAGGCTGGGGAACAAGGTGGGGCACACAGCCCATGTAGGGTAAGGCCGCTCCAGCTCCACTCACTTAGACTGCAATGTGAAGGGCAGCCTGTGGGCTGCAGTGTAGCCGCCTGTGAGCAGAGTCAAGTGAGGGGCAGCACGGAAGGCAGGGAGCCTGTCACAGAGGGCAGGGCAGCGGGTGGCTGGCCCATTCTCCTCTGACAGCCCTGGGATGGACTTTCCCTCCCTTTTGGTGATAAACAGTGTGGCATAGCCATACCTTGAGCCTCATAACTGCCCCCTGAAGATGACAATGTCCCTATTTCACTGTTGAGGAAACTAAGGTACCGGCTACGCCCAGTTCCCACAGCCAGGGACACAGTAGGGCAGGCTGGAGTTCCATCAAGGGTTTGGCCAGAGGCTGCCTGACTTACCAACGGGCAGAGAACACTCCCTGGAGCTGAAACCCAGGGTCCCAGTGCCAAGGACAGGCCTGGCACAGATTAAGGACAAGAGAGTGTTAGAGAAGCAGTGCCTCATGGTCATGCTTTGGATGTAGGCAGGCCTGGTTCAAGTCCCAGCGCCACCACTTACCGGCTGCGTGACTATGGGCAAGTGGCACCTCCTTTCCAGGCCTGTATACCCACCTGTGTATACAGGCTTGGAATGAGACTTGTCAGGCAGGGAAGGCACTTGCTCAGTGCCTGGCACTCACAGGCGCTCACAAAGAGCCAATGGGAGCTGAGTCCCCTAAGGCACAGAGTTCCACACTGCCCCAGGGAGCAGCTGCTCTGATACTATTTGACAGGTGGCAAAAGAGGCACAAGAGGAAAGTGGCTTGTCCCAGAGCACACAGCCAGCAGGTGGCACAGCTGTTCTTTGAAATCAGATAAATGAGAAGTGAGCACTTCGGAACACTAACATCTACAAACTTCAAAAAAAGGATGCACCCAGGCAGGGTGGCCCAGTCTGTGCCCTCCAGTGCTGGCCGCCCTCAGCACTGATGCATCTGCTGAGGCCTGGCCTGGAGCTGAGGGCACAGAAGGCTGCCAGCCGCTGCCAGCCCACAGGGAGGGCCTCCACCTACTGGGGGCACAGAGACCCAGACCCCACCCCAGCACAGCCCAGGGTTCAGGCTCAGGGAGGCTTCCCAGAGGAGGAGGTGTCCCAAAAAGGAAGAAATGCTGTCTGGGATGAAGGGAGGGAAAATGGAGACTGAGGCAGTGGGCAGGGAGCTGGGACCCTCAGCCTCTGTTCCGCCTTGAAGAGCTGCCCACACTCCCCCAGGGCCTCTGCTTGGATGGACACACACACACACACACACACACACACACACTGGAGACACACAACCCTCAGCTCTGACACACACACAGCCCCAAGACACACCCCTCAGCTCTGACACATGCAAACACACATATACCACTCAGCTCTACCCCACACACATGCACACACACACATGGGACACCCCCCTCAGCTCTGACACACACACACACCATTCAGCTCCACCCCACACACATGCACAAACACACACACCCGAGACACACGCCCCTCTGCTGACACACACACCCCCCTCAGCTCTGACACACACACACACACCACACTCAGCTCCACCCCACACATATGCACACACACACCCGAGACACACCCCTCAGCTCTGACACACACACACACCACTCAGCTCCACCCCACATGCATGCACACACACACACCCGAGACACACCCCTCACCTCTGACACACACACACCACTCAGCTCCACCCCACATGCATGCACACACACACACCCGAGACACACCTCTCAACTCTCACACACACACACACACACAGACACCACGCAGCTCTCACACACACATACACACCCGAGATACACGCCCCTCAGGTCTGACACACATACACACCCCTCAGCTCTGACACACACACACACACCACCCAGCTCCACCCCACACACATGCAGACACACACACACACACCATTCAGCTCCACCCCACACACATGCACATACACACACACACAC